GTTGTTATACTATCCCAACTCAGTTTTTAAACTGATTGCCGATTCTCTACTATATTTGCCACTGTCAGATAGATAAATAATTAGGCTCTTCTAAATCTGAATACATTATCAATGTAACCAGTTCCATTTTAAATAATAAATCGTGATTTTTTTTTCATAAATAAATCCTTAATGTTATCGGTATAGTACAATGAACTTATCTTTTTCATAAAGTCACACGTATATCTTGTTCACAAAATATCTTAAGCGAATTGGTGATAATTCTTTCTGCACGTATTACGATAATATTAGCTTCTGATCATTGCTTCTAATGTTATTGATTTTAATATTAATTTTGTTTGTTGTTGCTAATATTAAATTCTGATAAGTGCTGCAATAGTAAATTCTGGTCATTGTTGCCTGCCTGTGTTATTTTCACTACGTGTTGAACTAGCCCGGGTGAAATCAATATCACAGCGTTCAAGTTTTGCTGGTGTTTAGTTTCTCACTTAAACATCATAGACAAGACTGCAGCTAATTGTTATACAAACGTTTCTGAGTACATAACAAACGTGTAACTATCTAAAAAAATAAACAAGTACAGAACTAATAATATCGATCTACGTGTGTATATAAATATATGAATTTAAAATGTTATATACACAATCACGTTTTTACATTAAACTATGCAGCTTTTTAAACGTATCACACAAACACGGAATCTAAGTTTCTTCGCTTGAGAATTTGTTTGGGCTCCGCTGTCAGGTTCTAATGACATAATACACGAATACAAAATGGAACGCTTTCTACAATTATACTGGGAAAGCTTTGGGACTACTTTTTTTAACTGACTATCATTGTAATTACTGAAAGTTTGACTTTTATTTCAAGAGTGATTTTCTGTTCTTACTTCGTAAGATAGAATAACTGAAGCTCTCATTTTCAGTTGATTGGCGTTCATCTGTACTCACACTGTAAGATAATATAACACTAGCACAGAAACTCTGCACGATCTTTCTTCAATTAGTGTAAATCTTCTGTACAGTCACACTTTAAGACGGTGTAACAGTAAGAACTGATTGGTTGGTGATTCTTTCTTATATTTTCCACAGTAAGGTAGTATAACAATAGCACAGGAATCTGATCTTTCGCAGACTAGTGATCTCCTCCTGAATTTACATTGTTCGTTATTAAAATAATGGCACCTACGCCCATCCTGCCGTCTGTCTGTTTTTTTAGTAGTATGTATGGTCGTATATATATTTGAATGAACCACGTCTCTTATTTAACCAGTTCGTATATCTAAAGTAAGATACTTGACATAGTTTTTATTTCCTCCCTTTCGAACATACACGTATGTACTACCTTTAATTTGAGATATTTGTACACTTTGCATGAGGTCTATAACGTTCAGCATTTATATATATATAACAATGGTTTAAAAATACCCTCCATCTGGGTTCGTGCATGATTGCAGGGTTTTAGACTCCAGATCAAAACAGCTGTGCTAGAAGTTCAGTGAGTAATGTTTATAGAGGGGAACAGATTGAGAAACAAGTAGAGTTAGAGTTTGAAGTACGTGTTAGAAAACATCCACAACTGACTTATATATAATACACAAAAGACTGCAAGGACTTTCTTGTATGTGTACATTGAACAAAAGGCTACAAGAGTTTTCTTATATGTTTATATAATGCTCGAAAGGCTACAAGGGTTTTCTTATATGTTTATATAATGCTCGAAAGACTACAAGGGTTTTCTTATATGTTTATATAATGCTCGAAAGACTACAAGGGTTTTCTTATATGTTTATATAATGCTCGAAAGGCTGAAAAGGTTTTCTTGTTTGTTTATATAATGCAGAAAAGACTACAATGGTTTTCTTGCAGTATGCTTATACAATGAACAAGTGGCTGCAAGGGTTTTCTTGTAGTATGCTTATAAAATGAACAAATGGCTGCATGGGTTTTCTTGCAGTATGTGTATACAATGAACAAGTGGCTGCAAGGGTTTTCTTGTAGTATGCTTATAAAATGAACAAATGGCTGCATGAGTTTTCTTGCAGTATGTGTATACAATGAACAAGTGGCTG